ATCGATATTAAGGCTTATATCAATGATTTTATTTATGTTCTCATTATGTTCTCTAGCTCATCTGTTTTATCTCTTTATCTCACTATGTTCTCTAGCTCATCTATTTTATCTCTTTATATTTAAAAGGGTTTGCAGCATCACTACTCGCATACATCAGAGGTTGGATCAAGCTCATGCATTGATTCACTACAAATGTAACCCCAGAGGTTAACGATGATTTTTTTTTTTTATTTTGTTTGATTTATTGACAAGTCAACGTAATTATAATAATGTTATTGGCACTAAAATAACTGAAAACACAATAATATTACTGTCAACCACATCAATATTATTATTTTTTTGGATTTTTTTGTTTTGTTTGAGTTATTCACGGAGTAACGTAATAATATAACTGTCTATTATTGTAATATTACTGTAAACGCAATAATATTACTATGGTTGACGGTAATATTATTGTTGTTATAGTAATATTACTGTCAACCACATCAATATTATTATATTTTTGGGTTTTTTTGTTTTTTTTGAGTTATTCACGGAGTAAGGTAATAATATTACTGTCTATTATTGTAATGTTACTGTAAACACAATAACATTACTGTGGTTGACGGTAATATTACTGTTGTTATAGTAATATTACTGTCACTTATAGTAATATTAATTCTTTTGACTTTTTATTATGTTTATCTTTGTTGAACGGTCAACATATTAATACTACTCTATTACACAATAATAATGAGTTTTGTTTTGTTAATATTATGGTGCTAGAGATTAATATAGCAATATTATTATGTTAAACTGTAGTATAATTAATTTTATTGTATTTAACAGTAATATTAGTTAATATTACTGTCAATCACAGCAATATTGTTCTTTAAATGGGGAAAAAAGATGTTAAAGAAAAAAAAATCGAAAAAGTCAACGCCGTAAACAGGTGGTTGAAAAATCAGGAAGGGAAAAAAAAGAAGTCAACGGCGGTACGAATGAAATGCCCATAAAAATGTGTTTTTGGTCAAAATTGAATAATTTGTGAAATTTGGGGTCAAATTGATGTTATATTAAATTAAAGGATGAAATTGGAGCATATTAAAGTATGGGGGCTATTTTAGTCATTTACAAACCTCTGAACCATGTTTGGACTTTTCTGTAAAAGTGTTTATTGTTTGGACCTCTTTATGAATAAGTACCCATTGATGGGCTTATTTGTAAAGTGTCTATTTTGTTTACATTTACATTTTATTCAAATATTTTGAGCCAAATCTTGGGCTTCAAGGTGGTGGAGCGCCATGAAAAATACTTGGGAATGCCAACAAATATGGGTCGTACTCGGAAAGAAATCTTTAGCTACCTTTCGGGACCGAGTTTGGGCAAAAATTACAGGGTGGGGTGAAAAACAACTATCGAGAGCCGGAACTTGCGCTCTTTCAATATGGCCTTGCTTTCCAAGCAAGCTTGGCGAATTGCTACTAAGCCGGAACTCTTACTGGCCAGGATTATGAAAGCGAGATATTTCCAAAATGGTTCCTTTTTCACATCAAACATGGGTTTTCGGCCATCAGCGACATGAATGAGTATTTTGGCAGCCCGACCTCATCTCCAAAGTGGTCTGAGAATTAGAATTGGGAACGGACAAGATATGGCAATTTGGGTTGACCCGTGGATTGTGGATGATTGCAATTTTAAGGTTCTCACGAAGCGACCTATCAACACGCCATTTCCGAATCGAGTTGCTGATATTGTTGACCCATTGACTAGGAAATGGAACGTGGCTCTTATTGATGAAGTCTTCTGGCCAATTGATAAACAGAGGATTCTTGTTGTCCCGATTGGTACCATGCACGCTCAAGATCGGTTCGTTTGGCGTTTCAGTCCAAATGGCCAATTTTCGGTCAAATCATGTTAACGCAATATTCTTGCCCGACCAAGACAGCTGGACCAGAGTTAAGGAAATGCTAATCTCACAGGTTCTAGCGATGAACCGAAGATGGATTGGAAAAAAATATGGAATTTACCTCTTCCGCCAAAAATTCAGATTTTCTTATGGAGAGGTTGCCTTAACATTATTCCAACGAACGTTGAGCTTTACCGCAGGAATATTATTTCATCGCCTTTTTGTACTAGGTGCAATAAATAATGTGAAACGCTATCCCATATTATTCATGATTGTTGCGGAATGAAGGAGTTGTGGCAGTCGGCGCCGTTTGGTAATCTAAACCAAGTTGAACAACCAAATTTCAGGATGTGGCTACAATGTCTCATGCACTCGTTGGATAAGGATCTAGTACGGTGGGCGATTATTGTGATGTGGAAAATTTGGGATAATTGGAATAAATATATGCACAATGAACCAATGATGAACTCTCAAGAAATCGTCCGGTGGAGTAAGTCGTACCTTGATGCATATAGCCATGCGCAATTCCAACAGCCTTCGACCGCAAGAAGGGACCACCCATCAAAGTGGAAACCTCCATGACCTCATCAAAATTAATGTTGATGCCGCTTTCCCTCCGGACCAAGATTACTATGTGACGTCTATGGTAGCGCGCAACCATAATGGCAAGTGCATTAGGTGGAGAAGAGAGTTGCATCGTGGTAGACCGCCACCAGCCGCTGGGGAAGCTCAGGCAGCGATTGTCTTCATATTACGGAGTCTCTTAAAGAAGGTGTGGCCACTTCAACTCCTTGTGGTATTTTTATTGAGGATTGTCTTACTGTTTTGCCACTTTTTCAATGCTTCATTTTCTCGTTTGTCAAACGTACCGGTAACCTTGGCTAATGCCATTGCAAAAGCTACTGACCTTAATTGTAATGAAGGTTATCTCCTTCCGTTGAACTTGGCTATATTTGCCTAATAATATAGTAAGCGCTTTGTACTTCAAAAAAAAAATTTGAATTGAATAGTAAGATTTAAATGGATTAAGCTCAAGTCCTTTCAATTTATTTTTTCTTTTTTATTAATAGATTATATTTGTTAATAATTTAATTGAAATTATTTAATAATAATAAATATGAAAATTAATAATCTATTTAACATTATTTATTATAATCATTTTACACTTTTAGTTTACGTTATATGAAGTTCTTGCTTGTTGAATATCAAATATTTGCCATGTCTCAATGGTTAGGATTGCAATTCACTTTCAAGGAACCCAACCGAACTAAAACATTTTGGACAAAATATGAAAAATCCGGTTCAGACTTGACCCGGACCCGGATCGCCGCAAAAAATTTGGACAAGGAATGTACTGGAACGAACAAGAAACCTGCTCAATCAGTGTATTTTTTAAAGATTGCAAATTAGTTTATTTGGGGCTATTTTTGAAATTTATAATGTAAATGGTATTTGGGTCTTTTCACGTCAAAAATCGAACCCCACTCACATATTTAGCGAGTGTATCACACGATGAGGTATGTGCTATTATATTAACATGAGGGCTTTTTTAGGCATTAGATATTACACAAAGAGTGTCCGATGCTAAAACTTAAAAAATATTATATAACGTAGAGATTCCAATGTATAATTGCGTCACTCTCTCCAACCAAATAAAAGATAAAACATGTATTGCTTTGTCAAAACTCAAAACCCCTTCGCCGTCTAAATAGCATTGTTGATTATCAGTCTCTTGTTCTTCTTTGTGATAATAAATTCCTCTTTTCTCAATTTGCTATGGAGATAATGAAAGAACAGTACAACAAGAAGCAAAATGCGCTCCCAATCGATCGACTCAGCGATTTGCCGGACTCAATCCTCTCTCACATTTTCTCTTTTCTCCCGACAGCAAGCAACTCCGTCGCCACCAGTGTTTTATCCAGAAGATATATGGAGGTATCTCTGGTCTTACGTCCCCAATTTATTTTTTAACTACGATAATTCAGATACCATAAATAGGGTTTTACTCCTCCCTAAATCACACAACATCAATACTTTCTCTCTCTCCGATGACACTAAGCGCAACTACCATCAAATCGAGACATGGATTACCTTTGCCGTTGAGCGCAATGTGCAAAACATCGATATTTATCTTATTGTTCATCTCGATTCGCCTCGATGCCTCTTCACCTGCAAAACCCTAATTGATTTGAGGCTCGACCGCTGCGGTGTCGTCCCCGATAGGGGCAGTATCGTCTTTTTGCCTCACCTCAAAAGGCTTCATTTAATACATGTTAAATATGAGGGTGATGAGTCCCTTTCGCACCTTATTTTGGGATGCCCGGTGCTTGAGGACTTGGTACTTCAATTGTGCATCGATTATTGTTCTTGTAAAATATCCTCACCCACAATCAAAATGTGTTACGAGCTTGATGTAGAAGATCAGTTTATAGCAAGAGGAAGGAGAAGACATGCAGAATTGGGCAAGATGGGGGAGAAGAAGACATGCAGCATAATTAATAATAAAATTATATATGCAGAATAAAATTACTACGGATCAGTTAAAGGCGCATTTCCATTACGCGCTTTCCGGAGTATTACGTTTTTATTAGTAGCGGCTATCATCAGCACACGTGTCAGAATAAGAGAGGAAGAGTAGGAAAGTTAATTGTTAAGAAACGTAATCATGCTTATGTTTATCAATAGCACTTTCTAATTATAGAGATAATATAAATAGGGAAGGTTTGAGCTGGGAGAGGCAGCTGATTTTAGGTTAAGAACTTCTAGGTTAGAGCGTTTGGGACTTGATTCTCGAAGCTTTTCTTGTGTTTAAGCTTCCCGATTCAACCTCTGTTATCTGTAATTTCCGTTTATCAATATATATATATATATATATATATATATATATATATATATATATATATATATATATATATATATATATATATATATATATATATATATATATATATATATATATATATATATATATATATATATATATATATATATATATATATATATATATATATATATATATATATATATATATATATATATATATATATATATATATATATATATATATATATATATATATATATATATATATATATTTTGTGTTGCTATCAAAATGCTCGATGTCAGTTGTCATTTCGATAAAGAATCCGAAAATCAAGACTACAACAAGGTGGAGATAAACACCCCCGCCCTTGTTTATCTCGAGTTGCTTGATTACGCAAATCAGCGTATCAAATGTGGGGCGCTAACCTCCTTAATTGAAGCGGATGTCGAAATCGACTGTAGTAGTATCAACCCAGATGACAGTTTTCTTTATTCTCGATCGCTAGTGGGATTTTTTGATGGGCTCTGTAATGTTATGTTCCTAAAATTAGATTTATCACAATGTACAAAGGTATGGGTTCCACGATCCCTTTTCAGCTCATTGTGTATACGTGTAGTGATTATGGTAGTAATCTTATACTTTCTTTGTGCTTGTCTTTCTAGATTATTGACTCGGTATTCACTGCATGGACTACAACAACTTTTGGCAACTTAACCAAACTTGAATTGATTTCTGATTGTTGTTTTCTCTCGAAGTTCCTTGAAAATGCTGATAATCTTGAAATCCTTATTCTCCAGAAGGTTTGTTGATGCAATAAAAAACTTTTTAGCGTTTCCTTTTTTTAAGGCTTCTTTATTGTGTTACGTAAGTGAGAGCATTTTTTTTTTTTTTGTAATTTGTTGTTATGATCAGGTTTATGAAGAAGTGAAAGGGTGGGTGGAACCCCAACGAGTGCCGGCATGCCTATTATCACATCTTAGAACTGTAAAGCTTGTTGGCATCGAAGCTATAAAGCACGATTTTGAAATGATAATATATCTTTTGAGGAACTAGGAAGATGCACGTGCGCTGCATGTGTCTAGCCAGTTTTTATTTTGTTACTTTATACATTGCCTTCGGTACATTTATCCTACAATAGATATTAAATTTAAAATACTTAATTAACTTCAAAATGTAAAACATTAAATATTTGAAGACATTATATATTCGCTAGGAGGTTTCTGATTTAAAAGTTCCCAAAAAGGCTATATAGAGTCAAAATTTCTACTTTTTATTCTTAGCAGAATGATACTTTGACTACAAATTACTTAAAGTTTTTAGTGAATTTGTGTTACCACTTCAAATCTCATGCTAACGTCTGAACTTGTCTAAGACAATATAATTCTTAGAACATCCGATGGTGCAATTCATATAACATTTTCTAAAAAGCTTGTAATAAACAAAATAATATAACATAAAAAACCAATGATGTGAACTTTAATTTTAAATTTTAATATAATTAGTTATATCTATTTTGTTTTTTCAATCATAGTCCCTAATCTTTTTTAGACTACACAATATCAACCCCTAATTATAGTTAAAGCCCACATAAAATAAATATAAAAAGAGTAAAAGTCTTTAATTTGGTTTGTATGATATTTTTATTTTATCTAATATCAATCTATTTTAAAGATTTTGTTTTTTTTAGCAACCTTATGTATTCAGCTAACCTACCTACATTGCGTAATTTGTAGTTTTAAGGAGTTTTGATAATAATTTTATTGATCATATTCTATGTTTTAATGTATATTATTTTAACTATAAATGTATAAGTACATACTTATTTTCTTTAAATACTTCTTTAAACTTATTTTCAAAATTTATAGTCCACCCCTCCAAATTTCGACCTCACAATAAAAAAATTCCAATTCCGCCCATGCATGCCGCTGAATGAGAAACTTGTCATAAGAAGCTTGAAGACATAAATGAATTAAAATGCATAATTGGTGATCAAATCCCTATTTCTACATTTTGAAAATACCCAAGTATAAAACTCAATTTGAGGATAAAGTCTATCAAGTTTGCAAAATTGTTAACTTAATAATTAGAGACATAGTTCACCAATGATATGTAACTTTTCTGTTTAAAGTTCATATATCTGTTGTGAATTTTAATTGAAATTTCACCAAATGTAGAAAATGTCAAATAATTACCTGTGAACATTTCTAATTAAGTAGCTAAGTAAATTGCAGGGTCTGTTCAAATATTCTTAAAAAAATAATTAATCCAATCTAATAAGAATACATGTAAAATAGCAAAGAGCTTACGCGCACGATCGCTACTACGATGACGACCCTGAATCTCAAGAAGCTCTCGTCTTATTATGGCATGTACTGGAGTAGATAACATAAAAACAATCAACACAAAGAAAGTTGGATCGATCATAAACAACTTAACGGGACTACAGAAGTATAAAAAATGCTCAATATTCATGCCGCCTCATATTTACATACATAAGTAAGTCCTGATATATGCATGCATGCAGAGCTTGGAATGATTTATATTTGTTACTTAATCATTCCTTCTCAACAGACCTCGTATATAACATTTTATAATTTGCAAAGTTTTTATAATGGGACATCACCTACTAATGAATATGGCCATTTTGTTTCCCTTTCTTGTATTGTAACTGCTTCAAAATTAAAATACAAATCAAATTATTGAGACCCTTGAGCTTCATGTGTTGAGTGTAATTTAAAACCATATATAAATACTTATTATATTATTTCAATACATGAATCATATTTCATATGTTACTTTCTGAATGTAATGTACGTTAGTCAATTGAAAATGATTCTTCCATCTGAAGTGGCTTAAGCTTGTTCAATGAATTAAAGAGATAAAGCATCAATAATACTTTTCTTGGCTTTATACGTTCAGCGTATTTTAACATCTCAGTTATTCAAATTAATATACATCAATAAGCTAATTCTTCACAAACTAATATTACTTAGTTATCCTTCAACTTTTGTCCAATGGAAGTTTATTCATAAGGGAAGAAACCACCTATGATTCATACTTTTATAGATAGTATAGATGGTCAATTCTTGGAGAGGATGGAAATAGTGTATCCGAGTTGCTATAATCCCGTGGAGAAGATGTTTAAGATGTATAAGCTCAAGGAAATCTTATTGTTTGAACGAGGATCCATGGCATGTGTAGTTACTTTTGCTTCTACGTAGTAAGGTGGCTGTGTTTTAATCTTTATGTCTAATTTTGACAAAAACTGCTTATGAATTTATGAAATATTGTTTTCTAATTTCCGGAGGAAAAGAGAAAAATGGAAAGAAGTGTTTTAGTGATTGCAATGATGACTATGAAATGGAGACTTGGATTACCACTGCCTTGAATGCGAAATCCAAATTCTTGATGTTTTGTCGTGTAGAACCCCTTGTTGATCGAAAAGGCTCACGGTCCATTTTCAGTTCAATAAATGATTTTTGCACCTGAGTTCAATCGTTTATTATCGAGTTCAATGATTTACTATTTTTGAGACACACTTACTTGTATATGTTGATGTTCGTCCAATGTAGTCGAGGAGAAGGAAAATAGCTTGATTTATCAAGCTAGCATGCAGTTTTCTTAACAATGGAAAATGCAAGAAATCTATTGTTGGGATTGAAGGTGTAGTTTTCGGGGTACAAATGCATGGGCTAATCTTGTCGATGAAAATCGCAACCAGCTTGATTTTGCTGCTGCAATCTATTGATTGGTTTTTGAATGATTGAAAATGCACAGCTTTTACTAAGTTTGTTCCTGTTGTATCTGTGCTTTGAGGTTAAACAATGGAAAGGATATATTATGGTGTTGCTATTCTTAACTGTTGGTTTTTCAAAATTACGCCTTGTTGCTGTAACAACTAACATCAATTCATTCATGTTGAAATAATTGTTACTTGAAAGCGAAACACAGTGTTGATATTACCCGATCAGAAACGGAAGATCTTGTATTTCCTAGGGTGATGGTTATGGGTGGAAGCTGGAATGAAATTTCCTAATTCCGCTGATTCCAATCCAAATTTGAGTTTGGAACAACATTTTTCATTTTTCATTTTGAATTATTATATTTTGGTTTTTATTGTTTTTTCAATTTTTTCGGATTGTAGTTGGAATATATATATATATATATATATATATATATATATATATATATATATATATATATATATATATATATATATGAGATTTTGATTTTCAATCCAATTTTAATTTTTGAAAATGTCAAAACAAAATTCCAAAATTGCGTCTATCATATCAATAGTATCAGATTGTGGTTGCTTCTAGTTCCAAAATAAATAAATAAAAATGGGGGCAAAGGTAGAAGAGAAGAGAAGAGGAGAGAAGATGAGGGAAAGTATTAAGAATAAATAAAAAATGGGCAAAGGTAGAAAGAAGAGAAGATGAGGGAAAGTATTAAGAAGAAAGTTAGAGGAGGATATTTTACCCAGTGTTCTAAAAATCGGCCGAGGCGCGGCCGATTAATCGGTCTCCGAGGCGGAGGCGGTCCAAAACCTTTACGATTTTAGTGTAAAGGTTTGAAAAATGGGTTTTTTGCCTGTGAGGCGGTTTTAGGCGGTCTGAGGCGGTCCGAGGCGGTCAAACCTTTAAGGCGGGTCAAACTCGGTGGCAAAAATCGGTTAAAAATAGGTTTTTTTTTTTTTTTTTTTTTTTTGTTTTTATAATTCAAAATAAAAGTTGGATTTTAATAAAAGAAAATATGAGTTTATGCCTTATTTTGTTTATAGTAATTGTTATTGTTAAAGAACTAATGATGTATGCCACGAATGTTCAAGAATAAATGTAAATTCAAAAAAAAAAATTTTATTTATATTTTATAAGGATATTTATGTATTATGATCTTATGATTATTAAACTTTTATTATGTTATTAGGATATATACATGATGGAGATATAACTATGTTTAAATATCTTTTTATATATGTTTGGAGTATTTATAAATAATATTTAGAAATATATTATATTAAATTTTAAAAACCGATTTATTTCCGATTTATCACCGATTAATCACCGCCGCACCGATTAATCGTGAGTCGGTGCCTAACCGACTTGGACCCGATTACCGATTTTTACAACCTTGATTTTACCTTGGTAAAAGTCTTTCGAATGTAAAAAATTTCTATCTACAAGTCCAAACTCCTTAAATGCTCAAGTTCAATGTTTCTACGAGCCTAAGCTCTTCCTTCTACACTACTCCCAAGATGGGCCATAGTAAAACTTTTTGAAAGTAATTATGATTTTTTTTTTGCTTATAATATGTTTTTAGGTGTTTGCAAAATCAATTTTTTGCTTTTGCTTCTCTTAAAATAATTTGCTTTAAGCTTTTTTTTTTAAACATTCATAAACCTGCCTTTTCTCTTTAAGTTTATTTTTCGAAATATTTGCAAACACCCCCAACTTTTAAAAAATATTCACTTAAAACCGACTTAACTCACAGTCACTAACTTCTGCTTTTAAATATTTTTTTGCAAACACCACCTTAATGATGTGGCTAAATGGGATCCAAACCCAACTAGGGGGAAAAGCTCATTTAGGGCTTAACTCCTACTCTATTGTCCTATATCGATTTTCTACATAAAACTAGCAATAAAATTTAGTTATAAATATGAGGTATTGCTTACTTGGTAAAAAAACTCTTTTTGGGGATATTTGAATCTTTGCAAATATCATTTCCGATCTTGACTTGAGTGTCAAAGTGTAATCGCCGGGCTCACCCCGGTGGGTTACTTAATGTCTCGATTTATTTTCCAGGATATCGAGTGAATCCTTCCTTTCAATTCGTTTGACACGTGACAAAGACCCCTAGCACTCCCTTTGTTGGACTTGAAGACGAGCTCGTTGGGCTTCAAAACCATTGAGCTGACCCATTCATCTGGAAGTAGCATAAATTTCTATTTACATACACCCTGCTCCATATGCATGGGACTTCTAGTACTAAGGAAAAAAAAAACCCTATTAATTCCTAGTACTCCACCACAAAAATTAACCAGGTCAGAT